AACTTTCGGCAATGCCGATCTCCACGGCGACTCCGATTCTGACGAAGACGCGGTGGATATGGATATGGACATGGACGACGGTGAAGCCGCTGCCTGGGTCAACACCAGTGATATCAAATACGCCGATTTCTTCGCGCCTCCACCCCGCAAAGTTTCCAACAAGAAACATCGCGCCCTCCCGAAAACCCAACCCGATGCACCGGCGGTCGATGAAAACGATGTCAAACGCGCTATGGACGATGTTCGACGGGACTTGTTTGACGATGAGGATGCGGGTTCTGCCGAGGAAGAAGAGCAGGATCTTGATGGTGCAGATCCTACTGCTCCACGTTCTACACATGAGAAGCAGAGAGCACGAATCGCAGATGAAATCCGTCGTCTGGAGGCGGCTAACGTGTCCAAGAAAGAATGGATGTATACTGGTGAGGCCAGAGCTGTCGAGCGACCCATCAATTCTCTCATTGAAGAAGACCTTGACTTTGAACGAATTGGAAAACCCGTTCCCGTCAACACCAACGAAACCACCGAGGACATCGAAGAACTGATCAAGCGCCGAATTCTCGCCATGGAGTTCGACGAAGTCATCCGCCGTCGGCCAGGCGCCGAGAGTCAGCAAGCCGGAAAGAAACCCCGCTTCGAACTGTCTGATACCAAGGCGGAGCAGGGTCTGGCTGAGATGTATGAAACCGAACATCTTCGCGCTAACGATCCCAACTTCGTGGATACTAAGGACCGCAAGTTGATGCGGGAACATGCCGAGATCACCAGTCTTTGGAACGAGGTCAGTGCTCAATTGGATACGCTATGCAACTGGCACTACAAGCCCAAGATCGCCCAAGCAAGCATCAACGTCGTTACCGATGCTCCCACAATCATGATGGAAGAGGCACGCCCAACGGCTGGCAGTGCTGCCGGTGGCCCTGTTGGACTTGCACCACAGGAGATCTACGCACCCGGTGATAATGGCCGAGTTGCGGGAGAGGTCATCCTCAAGACCGGCGCGTCTATCTCCAAGGAGGAGATGACCCGTGAGCAGAAGGCCAAGAACAGACGCCAGAATAAGCAAACCCAAAAGAAGGCCGATGCTGCCAAACCTACCGAGAAAAAGTCTAGCAAGTCAGCCGAGAAGCAGCAAATGATTTCAGACCTGAAGAAGGGCGGAGTCAAGGTCATTGACAAGGAGGGCCGTATGACGAATATCGACGGTGGCTCTGTCCACGAGGGCGCCAAAAACAGAGGAGACAATCTGAAATTGTAAGGGGGGTGAATTTTAAAGAGCCAGTATGTACTATTCAGGAGTCATATTTTCTACTACATAAAATCTATTTTCTAGCATTGCACATATTATTCATCTTGTGTCATCTTTTTCTGCTCAAGACGTTTGGCACGTATCGTGTAGATAAAGATGTTCTCTCTACTATACGATTCAGCCGCAGGATCGTCACGGACTTGCTCCATTTCGAAAGCCTTTTTCGCCATCTTCATAAACCGCATGTCGGCACGTCTGCGACGCTTGTAACAGAAGTAACAGACCGAGTTAGGTCCCAGGAGGTCCTGGAGCGTAGTGATCAAAAGAGGGAATGCCGGCTCGAAATAGACGCAGTCTGCAGCGATGATGACATCTGGTTTCGAAGGAATCTGGTCTGGGATCGGTTCTCCCCAGTTTAGTATCGCAGCAGTCGCATTCGGGCCGAGATTGTTTAGCTCAATGTTGGACTTCATTAGGGAAAACATAGGTTCTTGGTCTGTGATATAGATTGGTTTTTCGAGATGACACCCGCGTGCTATTGCGAGTCCAACAAGGCCACCTCCAGCTCCGAGTTCCACACTATTGAAGATTAGGTTAGGACGAAGCGAGGAGAAATAGGAATACCCCAGATGAGAGCACCTACATTGTTTTATCAGATAGATCAGTGGCATGACGAGTAAGGAGGTATTTGGACAAGACCATCCCTGCTGGCCATAATTGTCCGCCACATCCATCTTTGAGATCTTCTTTTAATAGCAATGGTTCTTTCAGGAGTCCGTCGAATGAGATGTCTGTGGTCACGGCGGCGACTTTGAGTTCGCGCGTAGGGGCCAGGGATTCGCTGATATTGAGTCCACCTGGGCTTGATGGTGGGCTCAGGTCTGGACCTGGAATAGTCGGCATAGATATTTCTATCATTGTGGGATATTTGTGAATTGTTGATGTTTGTGAATTTGTTTATCGGAGAAAGTTTTTAGTGGGGGATCTGTACGGAGTAGCTTATCGTAAATTCGACCTGAAAGGGTCACATGATTGGTTGGGTGGCGATTTGTTTATTAAAATGGGTCAACTATTTAGAGCCAAATCGAATGGATTTTTAGGGGCATTCTTTTATTTGGTGCATGTCTATATCTGAGGTCTATCGTGTGCATTGTATATCTGATATACAAAGTACTGGATCCAGCCAAGACAAGGGCCCGTGCGAATGTAGATCTATGTGTCAATACTTTGGATTCATGTTCTTATTCGAGGTAATAGTGTCTTCTAATATAGAGTAATTATCGAAATCTAAATATGGAAAGGTACTATAATGGTTATGTAGGGACTTCTTATAGTATTACTATGTTGATATTTTGTTTAAATGAACCTGTTTACCTCTGGCCTTCTAAGGTTATGTATATAATGAAGTGGTTTGGCCGTGGGGGCCCGGGGGGTCGTGGAGGCACGGGGGGTCCACATCTCGGGAGTAGAGAGATCGCTGCCCCTGCCGTGTCTTTCCAACCTGTGTTCGAACAACCTTGAACATGAATCTATTGTCTACGTGCCAAGGAGCAGTTGAGACAAGCTTGTATCCTAATCTTGTAATGATTGTTTTCATATGAGTGAAATTCAGTTTCACAGCTAGCTGTACCATGAGGAGTTTAATCTCACCCCCATTTCGGCCTTTCCAGACGCGTTTATTGCATCTTCGTTCCACTTCCAGCAAATCCCAACAAACTCAGCATTACCAAAATCAAATTCGCGGCCTTTTCTGCACTGCCGCTCTTACGTCTCACTCTCCCAAGGATGATGGTTACTCGGGCCACCTTTATGAGCCCATTGAAGGAGTGGAAAAACTGGAACGTTATCGCGTGGGAGGTTATCCCTCCGTGACAATCGGTGATCATATTCACAATCGTTATCAAGTGGTTCAAAAACTTGGCCACGGCGCGTACTCGACGATCTGGCTGGCCCGAGATCAACAATACGGCAAATACGTCGCCATAAAAGTGTGCACCGCGGATTCGAACCCGCTTGAATTCAACATCCTTTCGGAACTTTCCAACTCGCAGAAAAACTCAAGCATTAGCTTAGGAAAGACGATGATACCTTCGATACTAGACAGGTTCGAGATTCAAGGACCGAATGGTACACACCCTTGTTATGTAACAATCCCGGCAAGAATGAGTCTCTCCGAGGCAAAAGATGCCTCATACAACCGCCTTTTCCCATTAGACGTTGCTCGGGCCTTAGCAGCACAGTTGGTCCTTGCAGTTGAGTACGTTCATTCCCAGGGATTCGTTCACGGGGATCTTCATGATGGAAATATTCTCCTCTGGTTGCCATTTGACCTAAACCAACTTTCTGTGGAGGAATTGTACAAAAATTACGGCGAACCAGAATTTGAAGCAATAAGACGTTTCGATGGGCAACCGCTCCCACCGAATATGCCATCACAGGCCGTTTTACCAATATGGCTTGGCGAGCCAAGCGACAAGCTCAAACTCCCAGAAGCCAAAATCCTACTTAAGGATTTCGGCGAGGCCTTCTCTCCTACCAAGCAACAGAAGTTTGAGTCCCACACTCCGCTTGTGGGCCGACCACCAGAGGCTCGGTTCGAACCACATAAGCCTCTGTCTTTCCTATCGGACATATGGTCACTCGGATGCACTTTATGGAACATCATAGGTCAGAGCTCACTTTTCGACGGTATGTTTGCGACCGAAGATAGCATTACTTGCGAGCAAGTTGATGCACTTGGTATACTACCCCCGGAATGGTGGTACAAATGGGAGGGGCGACATAGTAGATTCACAGAGGATGGGAAGCCGATCAATCGGGCTCCGTACCGGTCGTGGGAGTTCAGATTTGAACAAGATATACAGGAGCCTCGACAGAGGGAAGGGATGCCGCGCATTGAACCGGCCGAGAGGGATGCTATTTTTAAGATGCTGAAGTCGATGCTGAAATTCAGGCCTGAGGATCGCCCTTCTGCGAAGCAGATTCTCGAATGTGAATGGATGGTCAATTGGGCTTTGCCTGAGTATGAGAAGATTCGAAGGATATGATTACAGCAAAGCTCTTCCGTTGTATGAATCTTATGGGTACTAGCTGTATGAATAGTTAGTATAGGCACTACCTCATAGTTACATACTACCATGAATTCCTCCCCAACTATCATATTCCTCATATCACTATGTAGTTAGCCTAAGTCACTTTCAGTTTTGTTTGTGGAAGTTACCTCGGGATGTGGATCCCTATTTGCACCTTTCCCCAGATTTCCTGCGAGCGTTAAAAAAGCGCATTAGCTTATCGATGGTCTATGTCGATCCTGCATACTTCGTACTCATGTTCTTATTGACTGGGACATTGAAGGTTGATGAGTGTCTGATATATAGTAATTTTCTACATAAAATTGGAAAGGTACCATAAAGCTTACGTGGTGACTTTTTACCGTCTGGGGCTGGTCGATCCCGAGATCCATGTGGGTTCATTTTACCTAATTGATCGATAATCTCGAAATATGGATTTACATTTACTTGAAAGAGGACATTACAATTGATGCATCGCAAGTTTTGAAGCTATAACAAGTCTAGACCATACATAACTACTTCCGCATGCCACGTCTAATAAGGAGAATTGGAATACATCGATGTCATATTCGTGTACATTTACATCCATTAACTAATTGAAGCGCAAGCGTAAGGCATATATCTGATCACAGCCGGTCAGAAATTTCTGCTTGACTTGTCATCTCACAATCCCGTATCATTTAGTTGAATGGGTGAGTGCGCGTTCCCCACCAGGTAAGGAACAAACTGAGACCAACAGTCTCGAACACTCTCGAGACCGCACCGACAGCAATAGTGTCGAGAGGTCGCTTCTCAGAGAAGACCTGGCTCACAATCTGTATATGTTTGTTAGAATTGCTTGGATCTTGTAATAGAGGATTGAAAACGTACGCCTGGAGCTGAGCTTGCGAAGAAAATAAGTGAACCCAGGTACGCGGCGCCCTTGTAGCTCAGTGTACCAGTGGCATTGATAAGTGCGGCCACACCATAGGTCTGCACGGCACTTCCAGCAAGGGAGCTACCCCAGGCTGCAGGCTGCGCCGGCAGCCTCCTTCGACTTGATGAATTCCTCCTTAGAGTTGGCGGCTTGGGCGCGGTGGTAGGTGTCGCCGAAGACGGGCGCCAAGATGCCTAGAGAGGCAGTGTGGGTGAAGATTGTACCCAGCGCAATGGCGGAGGGCTTGACGGGGGGAAGGTCTACAATTGGTAGAGATTGTTAGTTTCGAATTGGCTGTTTGATGTAGGATATCAACTCACAATGGAGGGTAGTCATCTTGAAGGTATTATGTGTGGTGTGTGTAGAGAAAAAAAAAGGCAAGTTGAAGAGTTAAAAGTAGTTTAAGTAGAGGGCATTTATGCAACCAGGGTTTAAATGTGACGTCGTCATGATTCAGCGTGAGAGGTAGGAAGCGGAGGGCCATGACGTCAACTCGCATACGGGAGTCAGCTACATTCAAGGTTGAAAGGAAATAAATCAAGGGACTTACGCGGGAATGTTGGAAAATGTATCATAAGTCCATATGAGCTTCCAAGTAGGTGGATATAATTAATTTAAATGACTGTAGAAACCTTGATCATTGCCGAAGTATTCAGGTGCACCATTATAGATCACCATTTCGCCATCTACAAAGTAGATTAAATCCCACCTCAGGTGTATCTTCGTCTTATTGGGTAAAAAAAGCTTTGCTTTGGGAACTACCTGGAATCGGAGCTCCTGTGTGATTCGTCCCCATCTAAGGTACCATTCAGCACTATTCATGCCAGATCCGGACATGCATGTAGATCGGCGATTGGCAAGCTGACCATACATGAAACATACACTGCAATGGATAAGTACTAAAGACTACTTCAAATCTTAGGACCTCTACAATCAATTTCAATTTCATCTTTCTATTTTGGTTCCGTATCTAGCCCCAAAACCTGATTTTGTGTTATCCGGGGGTCGGGGGTCTTTCATGCGGGGACAAAAAGCTAGGCCTGATTAAAGTCTGACTACAATGTACTCTCTTATACCAACTAGCGGTCTTACGTAGGTGTTTGGGATGTACTAACAAGATTCCACCAGTGCCCATTAGCAATAAAACAAAAAGTGGGCACCTCGGGTATTTGTTTATAGCTACTACTTGCTGAACATGCGATTGTCGCTCGAAAGTCATATGAAAACTAAAAATGAAAATGTATTTCTTTGCAGAATGTACTGGTCTAATCAAGCGAAGGTGCGGCAGGGATATCTGTGTAAAATGGTTAGCCTGGAGCGATAGAATGAAGAATTGGAGATGCATACTTCTCGGGGTAGCCGTGCTCTGAATCAAGCTCGTACTTAGATTGTGAAGACTTCGAGATAGTGTTGAGGTTGCAAGGGCTAGGGGGCAAGCCGTTGGCACCCAAAACACCCTGGATGCTCTTCTTATCTTGCTCAAAGAGAGCCGCGAGGCCACGTTCTTCGCCCTGTTCCTTGACAGCAACCAATTGCTGCTCTCCGGCCTGTCCGATCTTGAGGATGTCCTCCTTAGGAGCAGCCTGGCTTCCAAATGTGAGGAGACTGACTGCGTCGGCCTGGCGCACGGTGCTCAGCTGAGGGTAGCTTCTCCGGACGTCCCGCTTCCAGTAAGGGTTGTCGGCGATATCGCCCGCGGGAATGGTAACCGGGTCATCATAGGCAAGAGGGGGGATGGAGCCCGGGGTAGGAATACGGAATTGGGAGTTCAGAGGGACACCCGTGGAGCGAGAAGGATCAACAGCGAGAAGGCGACGCAGGCGCTCCCAGATGCCGGTGGACTGGACTGTGTATTTCTAGAGCGCAAAGAGGATTAGCACCCAGCGCATGGCAATAAAGTTTAGTCTCCTTGTTCCTGTCAATATGACCTACCTTGTGTACAGCGATGACATTGGATGCCGACTTAGCGGCGTTCACGATACCGCGAGCCATGATGAGAAGACTCTGACCTACGGTTTAATATCAGCCCATTGACACACGAATGCCGCAAAGGTGTAAGGGCCAGAATTAGTTCTGCATGCCCAATTCATTTAACTTACTGACTGAAATCCCTGAAATCCGTCAAGAATCCGTTGCGAGCCTTCAGATTGAGCCGGTGCCGTAAAGGTAACCCCGGAGGTGCGCGATCACCGGCACGGATTATCTTGCTGCCGAACCACATACGTTCTTGTATTAGTAATTCAACCGATGACCCAGTCTCCAGGGCTTCAACTTTCAATAATTGACGAAAGCCAAGTCACTATCGAGTCTTTATGTCTTTCGCTAAGAAAATATTCGAAATAGCGATTATTGGAGAGGAAATATGGGCGGAAGAGTGAGATATATGCTGACGGAGCCGTACTGAACCGTGGACACCTCAGGCGTCAATCTATAACAAGATGGATGTTTTGACCTTCAGATGGCCATATAGATCGAGACCTCGCTCTCTAAGGGATATACATACCCTCAAAGTGGACAAACCTTCGGATTGTGAGGGAGACATAAATTGAACTATAAATATAACGGATGAGCATGGTCATAATTATCCAAAGACGAAGTTGATACCAGTTTACGGAGTATACTTTCCGATTTAGTGCACCCTTGATGCTGCTTTCTGATCACTGAATACATACAACTGAGCACCCGGGTCCACGGGTGCCCGGGTGGCCCCTGAGTATTACATAATTTCTAGAGTGCCCAGGAGGACGTTTACTGTTTTAAATGCGGTTGTAGGCGGCTATATAGAGGTTGGTGAAAGGGTTTGAGGATTTAGGGTGATTCAAGATTGTTTAAACTTGAACTTGAGGCAATTCTACATAATCACAAACTACTGCATGTTTCCATAGATAGACCGGCGTGACATAGGTGATTTATATAGCCGGCTAGACAATACTCCCAGAAATGGTCAGAAGCTTGTCAATAACAGCTTTCAGCTTTATTATCGCACGATTGAGTACACTCTGTAGGTACCTTAGGATCCTTAATATATAAATACCAAAAACAACCCTGGAATTACCGGCGTAGAAAAAGGCTCCGGAAGTCAGAACCTTAAATTAACCGTAGTATTTCAATCCAAATTTCAGCGTTGGTTAATATTCGACTTTGATATTATTTTTACACGCTATATCTTGAACAGCAAGAAGGAATATCCAAGTGATACAAAAATAAAGGAAAACAAATACAAGCAGTCATTGGGAGATTAATATGATCAAACTTTTTCATTCACCGCTGAAAGTATTTATGAGCGAAAACATGTCTCATGAAAGAATATCTATATAAACAAAATCTATAAATTCAACTAGAAAAGCCACGCGAGACCCTTGGTGTAAATTTTCTTCCAGCCAGCCAAATTTTGGTTCTCGATGGCCATCATGGCCACATATTCAGCCTCTTCGCGGTCAATTTCGGCCTTGCCCGTCCAGATATCAGCATTGTGGGGCTTGATGAACTCTGTCCGGTTCCAGATCTTCCAGCCAGCAAATGCCACAACATAAAGCGGGATTCCGATGTATGAAGTGATGAACGTCTTGTAGTCGAAGTTGCCGTAGGTTTCCGGTTTGTGGATAAAGACAGCGAAGCTACGAGTGAAGACCACCAACACACAGAAGAAGAGTGCAATGTAGGAACCGATGATTCCCAGGGGAGCTTTGTAGGCCAGGGTTGCCTCGTCGACACCCTGTGCACGTCGAGCGCGAACGAAGAAGATGTGAGTAATCAAGAGGGAGACCCATGTCAACACTGTAATAGTAAGTTAGAATTTTGGACAAACTTCAAGTCATTTCTGGGAGAGTGGAGAGAAGGGAACATACATCCGAAGATTGACACCATGTCGGTGAAGTATCCGAAGACATCCTTGGAGGTACTGGAAACACTCATGAAGGCGAGCAAGCAGAAAGAAGCCGAGAGTGCCAGGGAATAGATTGGGACACCAGCTCGGTTAGTGCGAGCAAAGATTTGAGGGGCCTTCTTCTCACGGGCCAGACCGTACAGAGTTCGAGTCGCAATGTACAGATCGGAGTTAGCGGCCGAAAACACAAACACCAGGATACAGCCGTTGATGATGTGAGGAAGAGCGGCGACTTGCTTCATTGCCACGACGAAGGGTGAGGCAGCAGCAGAGCTCTTGGCCTTGGTGGCGAAAATCAAGTCCGGAGAGTTGTATGGGACTAGCATACCGAGGAAGAGAACACTGAGAATGTAGAAGACAATGATTCGCCAGAAGGTGAGCTTGATGGCTTTGGGGATGGTCTTCCGGGGGTTCTGAGCCTCTCCGACAGTCACACCAATGAGTTCAGTGCCTGGTAAAAAAAAGAATTAGAAGATGAAAGGGACAGTTTTAATCACATAGTGTCCATACCGAGGAATGCAAAGGTGGCCTGCACCATAGTCGACCAAAAGGCAAGGAACTGTCCGAGGGCACCGTCGGTATATTTCGCGGCGAAGGCACCGGGTTCATTCCAGTAGCGGAAACCTCTTCTGTCATGGTCGGGACCACCACCAAGTGCGAAGATGAAAGAGCACAAAATGATTCCCAGAATGACAATCACCTTGAAAGACGAGAGCCAAAACTCTAATTCACCGAAAATCTTCACGCCGAAGTAGTTGATCACAATGATTGCCACCATGAAGATGGCAATCCAAACACCAGGGTTGACATTCTCTGCTGATGTTTTCGGCCAGTAGGTGATGACTAGAGCAGCGGCAGTAAGCTGTGTAGGCGGCAGAATAATATATTTGAGGTAGTAGCTGGAAGGACGGTCAGGTTTGCATTTTATATTCAGCTTGAGAATGGTACTCACCACCATCCGAGAGTGAATCCGAGAGCAGGGTCACAGAAACGGCCGGCGTAACCAGTGAAGCCAGAGGACAAGGGTAGCCAAGCGGCCATTTCACCCAGTCCACACATGACCGTCCAAACGACGAAACCCATAAAGCAGTATGCAATAAGCAAAGATCCAGGCTAATTGAGAATGGTTAGTCAACAACAGAGATGAGTTAGGGCAAATATCACATACTCCGGCTCTAGAGGTTACAGTTAGTAGTGTTTCATGAACGATTTTATTATAAAACTCACGTCAAAGCACTGCCAGTACCAACAACCAATCCAGTACCAATGGCACCTCCGATTGCAATCATAGAAATGTGACGAGCCTTGAGTTCTCTCTTGAGCTCGACGGGCTCATCCTGTTCAGCTTCTTTGAAATCCCCTGAGTTGTCCATGTAGGCGGGCTGCGCCTCGAGGGCATTGATCTCATCGGGGTGACCCATCTTGGTATAGGTCTAATTGACTGAGAATCACAACTCAGACAAAGATGAAAAGAATTGAACAAACCCCGACAACGACGGGGGGGGGGGGGGGGCCACGGATTAAATGAACCAGCGCACAGTTTTTAAGCGAAGTCCGGGGTCAATTTTTACCATTAACCATTATCTATCCCCTCTTTCGCCCCTTTGACCGAGTGGAGAAAAAATCCTGGAGAGGCCTAGTGACTAAGATGGGAGATAATGTGGGGTATGTCAGCTTCACAATCCCCGGGCCATTATTGCATGGCTCACGTAACTTTTTCAGCTACAAATTGGAAGGTGCGCAATATACTCCAAGGCGTTCGGGCCTTCGGACGTTCGGAGCTTTCAACCTATATGAGTGTCTTATTAGCATTATACTAGTTTCTCCAAGTCATTCCCCCGCAATACGTTTCTCCACAGATTCAAATGAATCACTGCAAGAAACAGTGTTTCCTCTGAATGCGTTAATTTGTACTGGGCCGCTTATAAAGCCATATACAACTGCCCAATCCTGAAGCCGTGGAGGTGGCTAGTAGATGCCTAGGTCAATAGCCGCTTACATTATACAACTGGCTACCTACTTTGTACGGAGTAGGTTCTATAGCCATTCTCTCCATATATGATCTACATTCATTATTGTACATGGAACTATCTTAAATATATTATGCGAAGGAAATTATACACACCTTCGATCTCGACAATGAATTGATACTGGTATCTTCATAGACGCCAATTGTTGCCGCTTCTAGGTCCGAGTCAATCCCGACGTCGGGACTTAGCCGTGCCAAGTGCACCACCACTGGGTGGCGGTATTGGTGCCCTTGGCGGTGGCTATTGGATGCTTGGCACGGCTACCCTCGGAAGCTCCAGGGGTTCGGCCCTCGGGTATATAAAAAGGTTAAATGGGAAATGTTATATAGAAAGGCGTGCACGGCCTCTGAATTATGCTTGACGAATCGGAATTTTGCGAAGGAATGCATGTACTTTTTGAAAAGATTCAAGTCTAATGTTTTTACAAAACACTTAGCAAACTTTCGATCTACCGTCCGTGCCTTCCGCATCTCCACGGGTAGAAACTCTACTTTGTACTGATAATGGTGCCAAGCATGAGAGCTTGGCACGGTTAATATCACACATTCAAATTGGTTGAGTAGATTTTTTTTTTGGCCCGGTGAGCGATTGCTTCCCAAAGGAATGTTCGCGCTTAGACCAAGATAGATAAGCTTTTAAAATTTTGTGATCTTTCGAGAACTAGGTGCACTTTTGTAACTCCGTATAAAAAAAACCCATGTAATGGCCGCTCAGATAATCTATGTAAAATCTTAACCATTTGCCATTCAAGCCAACCGCCTTGGTACTGTCGATCGTATAGACAAAACTTAGAATCCAAAGTCTCTTTTGGGCGGTTACATATCGCTTTGTGTGTGGGGTTAGAAAATTCCGCCCATTACTTCGGTTCCACTGTACTTGGCCAAGACTTCTGGTTCTATATTTTGACTGATAAGGAGCTTGGTAATATCTATTATTTTACTAAATACGTACTTATCCGGTGGAGAAGATCTAGCCTTTCACAAACACACTAACCTTACTTCCTGGTTTCCACTCCCGACTACGGAGTATATTGCTATGCAGTTAGATTGCAAAAATTGCCCTATAATATTAATATG